TGGTGAAACGTCAGGTTTTACAATGCCAAGACCACGGCCACACATCCCGGAAAATCTACAGCAACTAATGAACTCTGGCCGTGAAAGCCTTCGACAACAGAATAAACTATGAGTGGATCAGTTCTACACATCTGAATCCAGTATATTTCACATTGTTATAATCCTTTTGCTATATATACAAAGTACTGTATTTGAACACTTCCTTTGAAAGATCTCTTCCTGAATAACAAAATTATAGCTTACAAAATTAGGGAACCACAAAGATTGGCTGGGGGCATCTTATTTTCCCTCCCCACCCATTTCCTTTTTCCTTTACCAAAAAGTCCTTGTAGCTTCTCCTTCTCCAGCTTCCTTCTTTCCTTACCACCCAACAGCCAACCTACCTTTGGCTGTTTCCCAGGCTTCAGCTTTCCCTCCTTCCATCCAGCAGGCAGCCTCTACCCAAGAAAACTATGGCCCATTTGTGCAGCAGTGCAGGTTGCTGGGCTTACAAGGACTTGCAGAACACACATCACTTCCCGTGAATCCTCCTCCCTCCCTATTTCCAGTTTCCCTCCTCCTGGCAACTCCCATATCCTCCCCTCCCTCTCTCCCTCCCTCCCTCTCTTTTTCTTCCCACCAACCAAATTTATCTACCCATATCTTCAGCTATATTTGTTTACTTAAATTATATGCTCCCTTTCTTCCCAATGGCACTGAAAACAATTTATCTTGTTCCTCTCAGCTCCATTTCATCCTCACAACAACTTTGTGAGACAGAGACTGCTGAAAATGAATGATTGGCAAGGAAGTCATCCATGCATGGCAGAGTGGGGGATCTGAACCTGGATCTCCCATATACCCTAGTCTGATACTCTTACCACTGCCCTATACTGGCTTCCACACTGTCAAAACAGTAGTGAGTTGCCAAGTGGTTGCGACTGGACATGGGGTAAGTCAGGCAAGCCAGTTGTGTGGTAATTAATCAACTGTTTATTGCTTCCAGGACTGGCCCAGAATTAATCCTTCTGGGGAGGGGAGAAAGAGTAGCTTGCAAGGCCAAAATAGCCCAGGGAAAGGACCTGCTCCCCCTTCCTTTTTACTGAGAGAATGGTTGATAGGATTGCCAAGTCTGGGTTGGAAAATACCTGGAGACTTTGGGGGTGGATCCAGGAGATGGTGGGGTTTGGGGAGGGGAGGGGCCTCAGCATGGTACAATGCCATAGAGTCTACCCTCCAAAGCAGTCATTTTCTCCAGGGGAGCTGATCTCTGTCAGCTGGAGATCAGTTGTAAAAGTGGGAGATCTCCAGGCCCCACCTGGAGGCTGACAACCTTAATGGTTGAGGGCTGGCAGTATATTTGTGGTTGCCAAGAAACTTCCACAATAGCCACTGAGAGTGTTTGTTTCTTAAAGGTATAGGTGCCACTTCTATAATTTTGGGATTTTTTTAGCTCCCCCAATGTATTTTTTAAATATTTTTGATAGGTGACAAATAAGGTTGGTTCAGGTTTTCTGCAAACCTGCTTTTCTCAGGTTTGTAAAAATATCTGTCTTGTCTGTTCCATGTTCCAGCCTCCAAATTTAAGTATCCATAGATTGGGCCACATTGAGAATTAAAGCTATTAAAATATGGGATAAACTGACTTTGGAGGTTGTTACTGGAATGACCTTTTCTTAGTTGCATGCAGACTGTGGAACTCCCTCTATAGACACATTTTCCTGGCACCATCTCTGGTATCTTTTCGGTAGCAACCAAAGTCTATTCTATTTGCCCAGGGGTCATTTCATAAAAAAAGAGGTGCAGGAGCTCAATAGCGTAACTCATTTGCACATGCCACACCCCCTGACATCACCGGAAGTGTGTCAGAAGGCAACACCCACCACTCAGGATCCACTGAACTGTTTTGGATTGCTAGCTATTGGGGGGATGACGACATAAAGATCTGTCCTCGCAGAGGAGGGAGAGCTTGTACCTGGAGGCGGGCTGGATGGGGGGGCCTCTGCAACTTACCTGGCTGCTTCTTGCTCCTCGTGGCCTGACTGAGGGCTGCTGGGAGCAGGGGGTGGGGCTTGTTGCATGTGCCTGCCCCCTGGGCTCCTTACTGCCGGGGCTCTGCTCCTGAGCGCTCCCGCAGGAAATGACCCCTGTATTTGCCTGATCTTTAGGTGATTGTTTATAAACCAGGGACATTGCTGTTCCGCTTACCTCTTTGCAGCTTTATTTGCAAAATATCCTTATATTTGCAAAGTTGCTGCTAGTAGTTAAAGTGGGATGTATGCTGGAGCACTGACTTTTATGATTCCATGGTTCAGCCAGTTATTTTAAGTCATGTGGCTGTGCTGAAAATTGTATCCAAGTGCTTTGGCTGAATTAAAGAGGGAGACTGTCAGTTTGCAGAAATGGGAAGAAAAAAGTTCTGAAAGGCATAATTAGAACAGACTTATATGAGAAAAAAAAAACTAGCCAAGTTGGTCAATCACAACATCAAAAAAAAAAAAAAAGGTGTAATATCAAATACCACTAAAGGAGAGGAAGACTATCAGAGTCAAGATATTTTAATCTGTTAAACTCAACAGCAGAATAAAGAACACAGTAGCCATTCTCTTGATTGGTGTAGGTACAATTGATAGTGGTCCTGCAGAATAGTGTGTTCAGCTCTCCTTTAAAAAAAATCATATTAGGCTTACGAGGATCCTGAGTGGCAGCAAGTGAGAGGAGATGGTAAGAAATATAGTTCATTTTATATGTAACAAGTGAAAAAGAACAGAAAGGAGGATACACTTGGATGAACCAGGTGACTACTATTTCTTCAGGGGAAATGTAGGGGACAAGTCTTTTAAAGAATACAATGAGGATTTTAGAGGAACAGACACTTTGGTAGATAAAAGCATTTTCAGTTCAGCCAATAAGCTGACACAAGTGATTTTATAATCACATTAGTGCTGCCTTGGAATAACACACCCACCCAACTGAAAAAGCAATAATACGCTATTCATAACTGCTATGGTATATTTTCTATTTCTATGGGCAGAAATCCTAATATTTAAGATTTCAGCGGAAAAACAAATCCTTAAAAAAATCCGATTGACCGTTATCAAATCTCCTCATCACCCAATTCATATAGAAAATAAAAGCGCTTGGCTTTTCTTTGGACACAACTGAGTTCATGGCATGCCTGGGTTTATTGTTAGTTTGCTTCACGAGATTTCTGCATGGCGACTAGGAAAACAGAACAAAAAGCACATCTTCCAAGAAAAGGATCTTATTCCTTTCTGTGTCTTTTGTTCTGTTTTGTTGCCAGTAAAAATATCTCATCTCAGGAACAGAAACTGGTTCCCAGACCAGAAGACAATGAGCCAGGGGCGTGTGGAAGAGGCAGCATGTGGGTCATGTTGCTCCATGTGGCTGACCTTTGTCCTCCAGTTCCTGTTCTTGCCACTACCAATTTGGATTTGCTTGAGTTAAAACTGTGGAGCCTTTGTCTTGAGGCGGAAGCTCTAGTGCAGATGGCTGCTTGTCTCTGGCAGTCATCCTTAAGTCAAATCAAAGTCCACCCCACCCTCAGCCCATCCAGGTTGGTGTAATTGAGGTACATGAGTTTCATGCTCTACAGCAAACAAAGGAAGGATGGGGCCACCAACACTGGTTTTTACTTTTCCAGTCCAATGGCCAAGGAACCATTTGCTCTTTGAGAGAGCTGAAGCAGTCAGAAATGTAAAACAGTCAAATGAGGATTGCTAATTTGTAAATCTAAACAGGAAGGACACTAAAATCTATTCCATTAAGTTGTAGTAATAAGAACTAATAAATGATCAGCATCATATTTATAAATTGCTGCAATCCTGATGTGTAAGAATGTTGACTTAAGTACTTTAGCAGATGGGTGATTCTTACAAAGCAAGTCAATCCATTTTTTTAGGGCCCCCAAACTGAGCCCTGCCAGCAATGCCCCAGGCTGAGGAATAACCTGATACCCTGCATCTTTGTGTAGCCCTGACCTGGGTAGCCCAGGCCAGCTCAGACTCATCAGATTTTTGAAACAAAGCAGGGTTGGCCTTAGTCAGTATTTGGATAGGAGACCACCAAGGAATACTAAGGTCGCTACACAAAGGCAGGCAGGCAGGCAGGCAATGGTCACCTCTTAACATCTCTTGCCTTGAAAACCCCACCAGGGGTCGCCAAAAGTCAAATGTGACTTGATGACAATAAAAATCTCTGCATGAACTCTTATACATGGTATTTAGACAACAGTTTAGGACCATTTATATATAATGTGAAGTGTCCATATATACACTCAGAGGCAGTTTGCCGTTGTCTGGCTATGTGTCATGACCCTGATATTCCTTGGTGGTCTCTCATCCAAGTACTAACCAGGGCTAGTCCCGCTTAGCTTCAGATCTGGAGAACTCAGGCTAGTGTGAGTTATCCAGGCCAGAGCCTCTCTTAAAAGCTATATGAACATTAAAGGGTCAAAAGTACATTTTTCAGTAATTAAACCAATAGGTGCGATGTGCACTGCAATATCCATTGATTTTGTGTCATAACTGCAGTTTCAGTGGTCCGAGAATGCATTCCGATTCACCATCTTTACTTGTGGACAAGGTACGTTATCCAGTCCTAATTAATAACCGCAAATGCGGTACTACGGAACAGTAACTATGTATTAATTATTGTGGAGCATACAGTAGTAAATTCTAATGCAGGTAAGGTTGCCACTTTTTCTGGGTAGTCTGTACTTTTTAACAGCCGAATAACCTCCAGAAGTTCAACAGGAGAAGTGTTTATGAACACCTGTTGTATTTCTGCCTGACAGCGCTCACCGAAGGCAAACCCGTAGTGCTGCTTCACGCATCTTCCTTCCTCACCTGTTTCTCCCTACCGCTTGTCATCCCTATCCTCAAGCTCCACAGTATCTATCTTCGCTTCTTTGAGGCCCCGCCTATTCCCCTACGTCAGCTCCTGCGGAGGGAGGGGGGCTGCGTGCCCTGCTGCTGTCAGTCAGGTGTGCGTCACTTCCTTTCCGAGCCTGCTGCTTTTTGCTACTACGGTTGAGGAGTCCGTCGGCGGAGAGGCTCGCGCTGTAACAGAGATTCGCGCGCGCGCGCCAGAGATTGTGTGTTTATCTGGCCGCGAGGGGCGGGGCCGGGATCGGGATCGGGACGGCAGCTCAACACTCCCAACCCTCAGCTGTCGCCGCTGGAGGAAGAGTCCCGAGGAGCCAAGTGAGGCCCAACGAAGCAGGGGCTCCTCAAGGAAAGAGTCGGAGGAACCTGCTGCTGAAACTGAGGGCCGAGGGGACAGTCACCCGGCAACGGTGAGGGAACTGTAAAGGGCGCATGCGCGTCAGGGTAGTGGCCGGGGGGGGGGCGGTTATGGATGCGAGCGGAATGTGAAGGGAAGGGGCCTGTGAGGAAGACAGAACCTTTTATGGGGAGTGAAGGATTGTGAGCCAACTCAGCACAGCCCCTGAGGACGATTTGGAATGGAAGCGTGTAGCGAATGTTCCAGGCTGGGAAGGGGTGGTGGGCTTGGGTATACCTACGGAGAGGGGCATAGAAGGGTAAGAGAGGCTTGGCGAAGGAAAAGACATCTTTGGAACAGGCGTGAGGGTTGTGTGCAGCTCTCGCCGTGGAAGTTTAGGTAGTCGAGGGAGCATGGTCATCCCCTGTGAAGCCCCAACAAGAGAACTACTTGGTCAAAGTGGTGTAACTGGAAAGTGATGTGTGGCCCAGAAAGGCTGTACTTCAGTAAACCCGTTAACCTGTAAAATGCTGCAAGAAGTCAAAGTCTCAGTATATGATCTGCCGCAGTGGGAGTTTAGGTGTTTCTTTTAAAGGTTAATAATCAATAAACTTTGTTTGCTCTTAGCTGGTATGCTCTTGGGGGAAATAGTATATCAAGAATTTTTCAGGAAGGCCTTCTTTGTTCAATGTGAGGAAGCCTGCTTTTCTCCCCAATGAGGACCTGAAAAAGTCTACAACATTATTCTCTCCTCCCATTTTATCTTCACAACAGCCCTTCTGAAAGGTAGGTTAGGCTGAGAGAGAGAGTGGCTGGTCCAAGGTCACCCAGCGAGCTTCCATGACAGAGTGGAGATTATAATTGAGTATCCACCCATGATGTGGGGCCATCTTCTCAGACTCTTGAAGATGAACCTATCTAATAAGGAGCAGGTGCCATTGCTGTATACAATTGGCAGGTGCAGTGGAGAAAGATTCCTGTGCAGAAGAAAGTACTTTTATCTGACTTAAGCTAAATCATGTTCTTCTGTCACTCAGCAATCTGAATCTCTGGAAAACTTCCCATTGTAGATGTAATAATTACATTATCTTATTTAAAGCATGTTCTTAGACTGATTTTTCCTTTGGAATTTATGGGCTGAGGTCCTGATGAGGCAAGTAATGGAGTGCAAGTTTCTTCACTGTTACAACTGATTATCTTCTGCAATGAGCAGCTGCAGAGAAGTATTAGATAATTGTTCAGGGTTTAATATATGGTTGTATGAGATGACAGTGAGGCCCTGCAACCACACAAATGGTTTACTTTAGGGCAGATCCCCCAGAAGTCACTGCAGTATACAGGACTTCTGTAGTCAGTCCACAGAGATTTTCTCAGCAGACAATTCAATGTGGAAAGGGATCCCTGAAGATGAGAAGTTGAAGGCTTTTAATGGGCAAAATCACGCACTTGCCTCCTCTTTGCTAATATCACTATTATGTTGCTTCTGCATCCTGTGTTTCATCAAGAAGCTCACTATGCTGTACACAAAGATGCTACTTTATAGGTTAATTTTAAAAGTGGAATAGCATGATTCCACACATAGTTGGAAACCTAATGGCTGTGGGTAGAGTGGTGTTAGACTGGTGACAGAGACTTTGGATGACTTGCACATGTCTTCAGGTTTCTGTTTCACAGACAAATGAGCATGGGTATTCAGTGATGCAGGAATTTTGTCCACAGTTCTAGTGTTTCTTGCAGGAACTGCCATCATAATGCTGCAGCAAATGTGCCTGCCATATAATTTGTGGTGCTGCCCATAGTGACTTACTCAAGATCTCACCCAACTTCAGTTTCTCACTTCCAAGCCCCAATCTCTGTCACACTCCAGGACTAGTAATACTGTCTGTAATGTAATAGCAATGCTTTTTAGGGATGAGAGAAATCAGTGTTTTGTTGTAAAAAAATTAATATCAATTATGTTATGCTCTTTAAAAATAAACTAGTTTTAAATGATATCTGAATTTAATACAATAGATGTGGTTTTAAAAACAAATTGGGAGTGTAATAAATAATAGTAACATGAAGGGAATAGTTTGAAATGCCAAAAAGAGACTGTAAAATGCCAAATGCCACAGAACTGTTGATGCAGTCAAAGGACAAGAAGGCTTGATATTTTCTTCAGGTTACTCTTGGTTTGCTTTAAAAAGGGGTGTCTGTTGGAACCTAAACTGAAATGGGTACTTCATAGTAGGCAGGTCTTTAGAATCAAATGTGCTATAAAACCAGGGAAGTTACTGTGTTTATTTCAAGTGCTTTAGAGCAGCAGAAAAAAGGGGTGGGGGAACATGATAACGTATGTTCCAAAAATAAAAAGACCATTAATAACAATACCACAAATTCTGTCTACTAGTATCAATTTCTCAATATAAAATGTGAAATAATGTCATTTACATATACGAGAGGCTCCATTAATTTGTGTTAAGTTAGTAAATGCTTTAGCACTTCAAACACCCAGCTTCAAAAAAAGAGGTGCGCGCACACACACACACACACGTGCTTATAAAAATACAAAAAAATACATGCTTAAGGTGTTCTGTGGAATAAGCTAGATGATTGGAGGTTGTTAAAGGAGATGTAAAGTACTGTGATAATCTTTTCTATGTCTAATATTGATATGAGACTAGATAATACTGAATTTTGGTTTGTGCCTGCCTTTCTAATTTATGATAGGTTTATCTAGGAGTAGGACCTAGTTTTTGTTCAAACTACAGTACTTTGAAACCAGAGAAATACAAAGCTAATTTTGTGTAAAAAAGCAGATCAGAAGTATAACTGGTTAAGGGGTAGCAAAGTGGCATAATTAACAAGTAATCACAAAGCTGTGTCTAAACCAGGATTAAATCATGGTTTGAGGGAACAGAACAAACCATGGTTCAATTAAGTTACAAATTATGGCTTGTTGTGATAGTGATTGATTTCCAAAGGAGGGAGTAGTGACCACATTTTTAAAAACTCTTTGCCCCATAATGACAAACTATGCTTTATTGCTATGTGAGAATCATGCTAGTATTTATTTTTACTTTAAAAATTATGTGGAGTCATACCTATTAAGTTACTTATGTATGTAAATTAATAGTTATGGAAATCTTAAGTTATGAGTTAGAGTTTCCAGATAAACAAAGTGCTCTTCTGACTTTTCTGACTTCCCTGTTGCAAACAAAAGCATACCAAAGCAGAAGCAATGTAAGTCTCCATAGGTGGGTATTTAGGGTTTGTTGGATTTTCTGCATGAATCCCCCTTTGCAGTAGTTTATAGTCCTTTACTAAGGTGCCACTGGATTCCTGTTTTATTTTAGTCAGCAACATGGTCCCTGTGTCTTCTTTCCACAGCTTTCGCCTTCCTTTTCTCTAATACTCAGCAATATAGGGTGAGTGTATTCTTTGCCTTGCTCATTTTTAGAAGCAGCTGCAGACTCTGACCCCCTCAACTTTCTTGTAGTCTTGTAGTTTCTATAGTATTGTTGCTTGAAGCTTCATTTGTGGCCGAACTCTGGCCAGTTTGCCACTAATTTTCATTTGCCTTGGATACACAATGTTTTATAAGGGCTTGGTCTTTTGGCTCTTGCTTCCCAGCTGGACTGCTGTTTTCTGATACAGTGCTAATTCTGAATCTCTTCGCTGGCTGCTCTTTATTTTTTCTCTCAGCTTGGGTTCCAAAACTGCATTTCTTTCTTTTACCTTATAATAATGAATTAAATACCTCTATTTGTTCCAGTAACACAGGTTTTTTGCATGTGTTTCCTTAGTGTATCAGTATATTTAGTAATGGAAATGAGACATATGAATTCTCTCTGACAAAGGTATCTATGTGTTATGTAGCAAGGCACTAATGCATGGCGATAGCACAAAGGCTTGTAGTTGGTTGATGAAGTGGTGGTGAATCATTACAACACAAAGCACTGAATACGTGGACATCATCGTTTGGGTAGAGTGGAAGGGAACAGTTAATACAGCTAACTGTAGAATTTTCCCATATTAGTCATAAAGTCATCTGTAAGGATCTTGAGGGGAGGAGCTGCGGTGGCTCAAGTGGTTAAGATGCTGAACTGCAGGCTGTGGAAGGTCAGTAGTTCAGCAGTTCAAGACCCGAGTTGCTGCATGACGGAGTGAACTCCCGTCTCTAGTTCCAGCTCCTGCCAACCTAGCAGTTCGAAAGCAAGAAATTGCAAGTAGATATATAGGTACCACTTCGGTGGGAAGGTAACAGCGTTCCGTGCCCCTTGGTGTTTAGTCATGCTGGCTACATGACCACGGAAAACGTCTTCGGATAGTGCTGACTCTTTGGCTTTGAAATGAAGATGAGCACCGCAACCCTAGAGTCGGACTTGACTGGCTTTCGAGCAAGGGAACCTTTACCTTTACCTAAGGATCTTATCTTGAGACTGAATGAAAGTCTGCTTCTAGAAACTTTGTGGAAATTGAAGGGACAGCAACATGTATGGGGGGGGGATCTAGTGCAGGAAGGGGTGGTTCTGTAAGAGATGGAGCCCATTGTAATCATTATCTTCCAGTGGTGATCTGGTCAGACAAACAGACTTAGCCACTTTGCAGATATATCTGACATTCATCTTCAGAAGTTAGTATTAATTCTAAGGCATGCTAGAAATTGTAAAGCAAATCAGTTTTTCTCCATCAGTACTGTGATGGAGGGGAAAAGAAAACAATTAAACATGAACAATTGTGTCTCGTACCTTGTCTTCATATAAGTCTGGTCTTTGAAATGTTTGCTCTCTTTGTCTCCAGTTGAATTAAGAAGTAGCCAGATGATTTCTGCTTGGAGTAGAACTATAGTTTCCAACTGTACACTATATTGATGTGGTAGTTTTAAGAACACTGAATAGCTTATACTTTTGAGTTACTACTCTTCTTTATCTTGTTAAATAAACTTTATGTAAAGTAGAAAGTCAGTTCACACTTTTTTTTGTTCATTAGTTAGTGTGCAAGCAATATGCTATAGCAGAGGACTTACATTGTATGCTATAAAATATACCAGTTTTATACAATACAAATCTTCAATCATTCATTATAGTATGA